GTGAGAGGATAGAATCAGGAGTAAATTTTGAGGTTAAGGCTTTTTTAGAGACACTAGCCTTCTAGTTAGGGATTAAAAGATTCTACTTAATAGTATTATCTAGCGAGTGCTGACTAGTTGGCAAAGAAGTTCTAAAATCCAAATTCTTGTGTCAATGGTTATTTTTGATGGTATTTTGCTCTGTCTAAATATAGTAACTACTTGCAGGAGCTTCCTTTAAATACTCATAAGAAGCTCTGGTAAGTTTGTGGTCTCACTATTTGTTGGGGAGTGAGGAACTCAATGGAAAAGGTAGATAAATCAGTCAACATTTGGGGATGATAACACATATTGTTGCATTATTGCTTACTGCACCACAGTCTTGCATGTTGATTCATTATTAATTTATCACTCACACGCTTTTTATCTTTTATTCATATCCAATGTTCCCTAAAAGATGGGGCATGGCTGTCAGGCTGACACCTTCAATTCTTTACACCAAATTATCCCAAACACAATTACACTGCCAATTATAGACTTCACTCAGTATTTGTGTGTACCGTTTGCAGGGGCACAGCCAGGATGTAAGAAGGGTTTAAATAAGGAGCTTGTGAGAGCTGTGTTTTATTCTGAGGTGCATCCACAATTTTCCCTAGATATAAAAAAGCTACACCAAACAATCAATGCAACTGAATGCAAATGCCCCTTCAGGACCGGCTCACATAAAAATTGCTCAAAGGTCAATTACAAGGAGGCTTTACATTGAAAGAAATTTAAGATAATTCTTTTGAAAAAGGCTCATGGGAAGAGACAAACCATCAAACTGCATATCAGGTTTGAAAATAGTGAAATGAAGATCCAATCTTGCTGGAAGATTTGAAACCCCATTGCAAGGCTAAACAATCATACATACTAATCAATGATTCATCATATGACAAATTCTTACGAAAAAAAAATCAAGAAATTCAACCCCTATAATAATAAGCACTCACTTTTTTGTTTCAAAATAATTTATCCAAAAACATATGGTAAGATATCATGTGCTTCAAACAATGCAGAAACTTCACACACTCTTATTTCAGGACGAGTGTAGATTTTTTTGTCAGCAAGTCTCCAGACTTTTTCAGCCAATAAGAAACTTCTTTGTTCAGGATTTGCATTGATTGAAGTAAGTAGTTTTCCCAAATAAAATTCATATGAATAGTGCTGGACGATAATTTTTCTTATGGATTTTCTGACTTCCTCTGATCGAATTTCAATGTGTGGAGGATGAAGTTCTTGATTGTAGTGGATCCTGACCCCAGGAGGAGCCTGAGGGGGTTGAGTGGTATCCAATGAATTCAAATAGCTTTTTTCAGCATGTGGGATATCAAAGTTTGAAATTTTCCTATTTTCATTGGTGTCAGTCAGCTTGTTTGAGTAGTACTTAAGGAATTCAATTGACATGGGATTCTTTGCTATGAAATCTTCTTCTCCTTTTACAACATGGAACCCTTTTGATCTGATGTAAACTGGGTGAAATAGACTTGCTATTAGGCCAACAGTCTCTTCAAAAAGTTGGACTTTATGGAAATTGATTGATTTGGTGAATCTTTCCATGCACTCAGCTGATATATAATGATGATTATGATTCATGAGATATTTGAGAATGTCATACAATACTTTTAGCTCTAAGAGGGTTACAATTGTAATCTCCTCACTTGAATCTTGAGTGGTAATCCGTGATGATATGTAATTTACCAAACTTTCAAATAAGTTTTGAATTTTAGTCATTGTGACTGGCCAATCATTACTTTTTGGGGACAATTCAAGAAAGATTTCCACAATCTCAATTAATTCATACTCTGGGGATTTGGCTGCTTCAAGATATCTATTAATCCAAAATTTCAGATATCCAAACTCAATCTGCTTCCAAGCTTCCTGATCCAGAACTGTACATGCAGTCAATTTAAATTGTTTCCAATCCACATGGATTAAAAAATCACATCAAACTTAAAACAAAAATCATACTCACACTTTAGAATATGGGCCATTTGAGTCATGGAGAAGTCCTCTTGTAAGCTTAGCTTGAGGTTGAAGTTGAGGTAAACTTCATTGATATCATGAGAGAGTCTGATCTTCAAATATCTCAAAACAAAATGTGCCAAATCTCCTTGGTTGAAGAAGCTTGTGAGAGTGTAGTGGGTATCTGTGAGAATTTCATGCTGTTTCAAATCTACAAGAAAATTAACAATGAGATCACACCATTGATTGAGAATCAAGCTTGCATTTGTAAAGTATGATACATTGTGTAGTGGCTTAAATTCATCAAAGTTTGCAATATCTTTCAACCATTTTGTTTCTAATGGGTAGAATATGTGAACAGAAACATCATTTGGAACAGCTCCATTGCTTGATTGGAACACATATTTATGATTCCTGAGTTCATAATCTTCTTTTCAAAGATGACTTTCATGGAATTTATCACAATATCTACATGTTTCTGAATTGGATTCCTTATATGGTCTCTAATGTCAAGTTCTGCAAATCTTTTTTTCCATTCTTCCATATCTTCCATTGTTTTTGAAGCACATTCCCAAAACTTTCTTTCTGAAACTATTTAAAAGGATTCATAAACCACTCTTTCAGTCTAATTATCCTTAGTGGTCTCACTTACCTCTGAAATGGATTTTATGTTTCTGAGCTTCTCCCATGATTTGGTCTTCCAAATTTGAGTGGCTGACTGTGTTAGGGTCAATGAAGGTTATTATGATCTACTAGGTATACCATATTATCAGGAAAGAAAGAGATTATCTAACTTACCCTGTGGCAAATCTGTGGATGTATGCTTCCATTCCATCCCAGAGTGTTCCAAATTTGAAACAACTGGTTCAATAGCACCACCAGCACCTAGTATCCTCTGGATCACTAAGCTGGACAAGGCTAAAAGACAGATTTTAAGCATCTGATTAACAGACATATTGGCTGGAATGGATCAAGAAGCCAATAATGAACAAAATTATAGTCTTCTAAGCAGACTTGATGAGTGTAGCTGTTGTCAGTACCTCCAATGAAATCCATACTTGCTTCACTCTGCAAGAGCAGAAACATTATCTCTCTAGTTGCAAGACTGCTGCTTCTCCCTGATACTTTCCCCGCACCTTGTAGAGTATACCATCCATCTGATTCAATGGGTCTTGGTATCAAACACGTCAGAGTTTGGCACAGAAGAGATTTGTAAATTGAAAGGTTCAATCTCCACAGGTTTTATGAAGGGGACTGTGCTTCTGAGCAGTGCACAAGTTTGGCCATAGCTGGTGATGAAGGTAGGCGTCCATTTTAGCTCAAGTAGCCGAACATTTAAGGTGGCAATTATAAAGGGCCTTTTTTTCAAGAAATTTTTGAATTTTGTTTTGATTACTTTCATACAGCTATTTCGGAAAGGGTTGTCCAGTTGTCTCTCACAAATTTTTTTTTTTTTTGAAAATTTTTAAATTTTTCTTTGTACTGAACTACAGCCGAGGAGGTACAGCTGTCATCACTAGTTCAGTTCTGACAGGTCCAGTTCAGTAAAAAAATAAAAAATAAAAAAAATAAAAAAATAAAAAAGATTTCGTGAGTCCAAGTGGACAACCCTTTCCGAAATAGCTGTAATGTTTTTGTTATTATTTTATTAACCAAAAAACAATCTCAAAAACATTTCAAACAACCTCCTAGAGGTTGTTTGAAAAGGAAAAAAAATCAAAATCCGCTTATGCAATATCATTAAGGTCCTCACACTCCTTATGGGCTGTATCCTGCTGTACGACCATACAAAATACAGAGAGTGCTCTGACCTAGACCTTGATACAAGATCTCAAATGCAGATCAGCAATAAACTGGCTGTTTGAGTTTATAATTGCATCATGTATGAACTTTTTTTTGGTTTCTTTTTGAATTCCACTTCCTCTTAAATAAATAAAACAAATGACTCTCAAAAACAAATAAAAAAAATCACAAAAAAAAATCCAAAAACCGTTTATAATTGCAGCTGCCTTAGCAATCCTTTTTTATCTAATCAGGGGTATCAAATATGTAGAATTTGAAAACTTAAACCCCCAATTTCTTCTAAACTACTGATCAATTTTTCATGAAGGTATTATGGAGAGTAGCAGTTTCATATGATATATCTTAATTATTACACTTCATCTGGAGAAATCCCTCAGTTCAAGAGAAAATGATGTTTTAAGTTTTGAGAATTTTCATATTTGATACCCCCTGATAGGTTGAGGCCCTGTCTTTCATTTGGCCTCTTTGCTTTACCGCAACACACACTGAAAAGCACAGATCATACATAAGTTCCCACAAATTATAGATGTTGTAGAGGACAGTATGACAGTCCCTCTAATATAAACTTCACATTTCAACTGCGGTCTCCAGAAACAAAGGCACAGCTGCTGCCCCAGTTTTTTTTTTTTTTGGTTTAGGTACAGCAGGTTATACAGCCCTTAAATGTGTATATTGTGGAGCACAAACACAAAGGTCTGCCATACCCACAGCTTGAACACAATTATGCTGCTGTGCTTGTAGTTATTTTTTTTTTGCTATGTATGTATGGATCTAACATAATCCTGTCAGACTGACATAGCAAGACACCTCTTGTTATAACATCCCAATCAAACTGTACAACAATCACAGTCCAGTCTTATGTAATCGGTGAACCCTTCTCCATTTTTTGGGGCTTTTCTTATATTTCTCGTGCAAATTAAAATTTCATTCCCATTTTCATTTTTTTTGAAGAAAAGCAAAACAAAAATAAAAAATGATGATGATGATGATCAAGACCTATATATATCATATCAAAGTCATCATAAATATTGTACACATATATCAGAGGGAAAGAGAGAGCATTTCTAGCAGAGTTAAAAGCCTCTTCCATAAGTTTCACCAGATTGAATGACGATTAAAGACCAGCTTGATTACAACAACCAACTGTTGTTAGAGAGTTCAGAGAAAAGCACGTGGACGATATACAGGAGGAAAGAAGAGCGGGGAGCGCGACATTACTTGATCTTCAAGATCTGCAGGACCTGATCATCGAACCCGGAGGCCCTAGCGAGGAGCAACAAGTGAGCCATCGAGTGGACCTCGAAGACGGTGTCCGGAGATTGGTCGTCGCTCTTGACATGCTCAGCCCCACCAGTGTTCGAAGACGATGATGGTGGTAAGCTCTTTCGAATCCTCCGATGACGTTCGATGTCTTCATCTTCTTGATGATCTTGGTTGAATGATGATGAAGAACCGGTGACGATCTGGGCGGTCGGACCAGAGGAGACGGGGAGCTGATAGACCTCGAAGTGCCGCTGCTGGATCGCCTTCCACCGGAGCGCTTTGAGCCGCTGGCTGTACTCCTCTACGGCCGTCTTCGGCCCATCGATTATCAACGCGCCCGGATACCTATGTATCGAAGCCATCATTATTTCCTTTCTTGTGAGTCTCTAGAGAGAGATGGTGGTGAGATCAAGTGGAGTGGCGGGCCCGCTATCTTACCCCGGCTTCGACCATCCTCGGATCCCCAATTCGCGCGCCCAAGCAACGATGTTCTTCCGTTTCCCAGTGGCCTTGATATGATGCATCTATTCACACACACACCATCAGAGAGAATTGCAATCATTAATGATGGTGAGAATTAGCTAGCTGATGGGTACATATTTGATGTATTTATCTTACCCAAAAGACAGCCCATGCCATGCTCAGATTATGATGCTCATGTTGAGTCGGCGGTAGAGGTTGATGTTGAGGTGGCCCATTAAGCTGGGGACCGGAAGAAGTGGTTGCAGAACTTGTAGAAGGCGAGAACCCGGCGGCCAGCTCGTCGAGCTTGGCGACCAGGACGTCCAGACAGACCTCGGCCGGCGCCTTCCTCTGCTCGACAAACTGGGCGATCCATCGCTGGTAAGTCTGCTTGAAGCGCTCCCCATCCTCCCGGCTCAGCGTCGCCATCCCGCCCAGACTGACCCCCGGAACCGCGCCGCTCGTCGGGTATCCTTCTTCTCCGTCTATCGTTATTCGCATCTCGACCTCTGACGACGTATGTATCATGAGTCATTAAAAATATATAAGAGTTTTATTGGTTTGTTTCTTTATAAGGTGGTAGGCCAGAAGAGAAATATAAACAAAATGTGTGGGGATGTGGGGTGGATGATCACTGACGGTGTTCGAGTCCATCTCCAAAGAGCGGACGAAGCTTGAGCAGAAACGAGGTCTGAAGTACAACATACATACAAGGAGATCGCTCATCATCATCAACAAAAAAATCTTTTAATGGTCAAGAGAGAGTGGGTGCTTGCTTGCCTTGTGATGATGGTCATCATCGTTGGCCAGTCCATCGTCGTCGATCGATTGGAAGTTGTCTGGATACATGGACTCGAGCAGGTCGATCTCTTCCTTGGCCTCCTGAGAGATCTTCGTCATCCCTATGTATGAGTTTCTTGGTTGGTTGTGGTTTGTTTCTTCCCCCCTCGGCCATCCTCCGACCTCCCCCTCCTGGTTCTCCTCCTCCTTCTTTTCAATCCAGATGGGGTTCTCCTCCTCACAAAACAGCTGCTTCGTACACTCGCGGCCTCTCAACATCCGTCAAGATTGTCTTCATAATCATCCAAGGGGCTTCCTGATCACCTTTACAAATAACTTCATCATAAACGAAGTCAAGATTCAGCACAGTCTCAGTCCAAGATCTTCAAAACCATCAGTCCGACTTCCCATCACCAATATCGCCACAACCCCTTACGATATGAATCGGCAGCCTGGTCTACTTAGAGTGGATCCTGTATATTTTTTTGTTAGAGGAGTGATGAAGTCCAGAGATAAATAAGAAAACCCCTTGGGGTCCGGCCTCCTGACTTCCTCTGAAAGTCTCAGCCTCCCCCCCCCTTTCGCATCATCACTAACTTTCCTTTTCAAGCTATCCGCATACATCCACCCTCCACCATCACCAGATTGTATTGTTTTGTTTATAATCCTCGTCGTCGTCCAGCTGTGAACTTTCCTCTTGTCCTGCTGTTACACTTTTGCTGATCTGCTTGATCATTTGCACAAGTCCGTCGGAGCTGACGAGATTCTGCTCAAACCCGCAACCACCGATCTCCAAAGAGTAGTGATCTCTGCACAGCAACAACCACACACACAGCCCCTCTCTCTCTCTCTCCCGCTCTCTCCGCCTATCATCAACCACTCCCACAGCATCCATCAACCACCCAGCATATACAATATTATAAATACTCCCTCTCCGCACTCACTATTCTCTCTAGCCTCGTACTCATCTATTCACACACTTAGAAAATGGTCTTCGGGTTCTTCGAAAGTCATTGGTCCTTCGACCAGATCCCTGATCTCACTGGTAAGCATCCCCATCCCCAAATCACTCGATTCTTTCTATCTTTCTCTGACCAAGATAACCGTTTATTCAGGCAAAGTGGCCATCGTCACCGGTACGTCATAGCTGTCTCCTTATATATACAATTTGTTTTTAATCAGCATCCGTCGATGTGTTACTGATCATCATATCTGTTCTTTTTGGGTAGGTGGGAACTCGGGCTTGGGCTACATCACCTGTTTAGAACTTGCTCGAAAGAATGCCCGAGTATAGTTGAGTATCTCCCATCCCCTTTTTTCATTCGGACCTCCAAAGCCTGATCCATTCCTCTGGATGTATATAACAGTATGGCTTCACGGAATCAAACCAAAGCAGAAGAAGCGATCCAAAAAATCAAACAAGAATTAACCACCAAACCTGATAACGATAGCAAGAAAAAATCGGCATCATCATCATCAGGAGAGGATTCGAAGAGTAATGATCAGATCAAGGAGCCGTTCATCGAGTTCTTGGAGTTCGATCTCACCAAAATCTCGGCCGGAAAAAAAACGGCTGAGGCGTTTCTTTCGAAAGAAGACCGGCTGGACATGTTGATCAACAATGCCGGAATAGTGGGTCCCCCTTTGCACTTTTAAATGTTAGGAGTGTTGAAAGAGAGAGAAAGAAAAAAAGAAGTTGATATTTTTTTATGTTCAAACAGATGGCGACGCCATATGAGCTAAGCGAAGATGGGATCGAGCTCCAAGCGTGTAACGGGACCGGCCACTTCGGCCTGACGATCCCATTACTGCCGATCCTGAAGAAGACGGATGCCGCGGGGTCGCAAGTGCGGATCGTGAATCTGTCGAGCATTGCCCATCGGACGGCGGCCTCCAAGCCCGACTTCTCCTCCCTCGAGGCCCTCAATCGCAAGTACTCTTCCACTTGGATCCGCTATGGAAATAGCAAACTTTCTGTGCGTCCTCTTCTCTCTCTATTTGGTTGTGATGTCCAAGCAGAGGCTCATCGGTCTTTGTCGCCAGAATATCTTGTTTAATAGCGAGCTTCAGAGACGTCTAGAGGGAACCAACATCCATTGCTTGGCTGTCGTTAGTCTTCCTCTCTCTTTTTCTGATCACTCTACTTATATATTCATGGATTCGTTTCGTCCCCCCTCGATTCTCTTCTTTTTTAGCATCCTGGGGTCGTAGATACCGACTTGTTCAGAGGTACATCCTTCGCTTTCTTGTATACTTCCAAAAGCCAAAATAAATGGGTTTTGTTTTCTTTTTTGTTTGTTTGTAGGACTCGGTGAATCGTTTCCACTTCTGAAACCGTTCCTAGTTGAGTCAAGTTTTTTCTTTTTTTTTCTTACCTCACACTATATCAAAAACACTCCAGAAAGCTTAGAGCTTGTTGAATTCGAAAGACGGAGCAAAGAGCTCAAACTTTTGTTGATGATGATGTGTAGGGTGTCAAGTCGTTGTTCAGAGGGACTGTGCTCATCAGTCCTGAACAAGGCGCCATCACCCAATTGTATGCAGCCACCTCACCTGAAGTGGTCGAGAAAAACCTCAAGTTGAGCTTTTTTTTCATCGATTTAAAGAAAAAAAAAAAACAAGCACTGAATGTCTTTCTCTTTTTTTATTTTTGGCGGGGTGGGGTTGATGTTCATAAAAGGGGCAAATATTTGGTCCCCTATGCTAAACTTGAAACTCCAAACCAATTGGCTCAAGATCCTGATCACACTTTGGCGCTCCAGTTCTGGTCCCTGTGTGAAACCTTATACCAATCTAAAATTTAACCCCCCCTTCCTTTTCTCCTCGTCGTCCTTATGAAAACAAAAAAAAATGTAACTGGTCTTGAAGATGATTTTTTCTTCCTGGATGGTTTATAAACAACTCTCATGAAGATTTGTTTTGGTTTTGGTTCTTAGGGTTATGTATTAAGGCATATATATATATATATATATATTTTATCTTGCTTAGTTATGATGATGATGATGTGTATAGCCCACTATATTCTGATTGATCAATGTAAAACAAACAAAGAGATAAGGCTCTGTGAGAGAGTGCTTTTGCGGGGCCAGGTCTTTGTATGTGTGTATGGTCTGGCTGGGAGAATGCAGGATCTCATGAGGTATTTTTTACAACAAAAAAACCCAGGCTGTGGTTTTTTAGATGTGAATACTTTGGAGCAATGGGGGACTATTACGAGCTTGTACAGCCTCTCCGTCGAACGCACGAAGTGCGGGAGAGGCTTGAGCCCAAAACGAACACGACTGGGTGTCACAGTTGAGTTTTTTGGCTGTTTTTTGCGCCAAAAATCATAGAAAATCCAGCTTTTGGATTTCTTGAAAGCTGAGATGGAGTGAAGATGCCCAACATGGAGGTCTTGACTTCTATCAAGAAACTTTTGGGAAAAAATGAAAACTACACAGTTGAAAAATTTTAAAGGAAAATTTGCCCAATGGCAAATTGGCTGAGCTTACATAAGCCAGTTTCAATCTCACTGCCTACCATGTGAGAACATTTTCTCAATTTGACCAACTTAAAAAAGATCCACCTCATCCAATTTTCAAGATGAAGTTCTGAAAATTGGATGAGGTGAGAGGCATCACCAAGCACCAAAAGCTTGTCTACTCAAATCGCCAATAGCTGGTGATGTAAATGCTGTACATCCAGCTCAATGTGCATTACACCAAAAGTGCCCAACTGTGACACGCGGGCCTGTTCGTGTTTGTCTTAAGTCCCTCCTTCGGAGGCTTGCGCTTCGCGCGAGTGGCGTTCCACACCAGCCAAGGCCACCAGGCCCTCCGAAGCAAGGGACTTTGATAAGTTCGGGACTATTATGCTGCACTAAATCACTGTTAGAATAGCAGCCCTCAAAACAGCACACCTGCAAGTTGGTAGTGAATTAGTGTGCTGTTAGTGCCACTATCCTACAGCACTTTAATTAACAGCCACAAAAAAAAACCAATACATTGTATTGTAGCGCAGCGTAGGGGGGAGGGGGTACTTTCCTTGTGGCTTGCACGTGTAATGGTAGCACAGAGCAGGCAGGAATCTGCTGTGCTACATACACTCATCATTTAATTAGGGCCTGTAGTACCTGTGATGAAAGAAAAAAAAAAACTGAATTTCAAGGGTTGATCTTGTTTGAAGTTTCATTGTACCAATGCCATCAAAAGTGGACTCATCCAAAAAGCTGGGTCTTTTCCATCTCAACATCAACAACTAACACTCTCTATTTCAACCTTTAATTATCTCCCCATTTATTTGGAGACTTTTTGGGGTTGTATATACTAGAAGAAAGAGAAAAAAATCAAACAGAAAGCCTTTCTTCAGAATTCAATCCCCTCTCAATCTATATAAGGCCCGATAAACCGTAGTGTCCGTACTGGGGGTTTCCAGCTTAATGTGATGTCCTGACACTACCCTTAGCTTCAGAAACTGCCCTAATAGTCCATGGGTCTCCAATTTCAATCATAA